CCTTAATCTCTTACAGTATTTACCACACTGATGTCATAATTAGGCAAATATCTGTCTTCTTTATGTCTCTGAGCACATTCTGTTTAAAATTGTGACCCCCCCCCTCCCCATGTTCCTTTTCTGGCTCTGCTTATTTTTTCTCTTGTATTTGTCCCCTTTCAACATACTTTATGTTTTTTTTTTTTTTTTTTTTTTTTTTTTGAGACGGAGTTTCGCTCTTGTTACCCAGGCTGGAGTGCAATGGCGCGATCTCGGCTCACCGCAACCTCCGCCTCCTGGGTTCAAGCAATTCTCCTGCCTCAGCCTCCTGAGTAGCTGGGATTACAGGCACGCACCACCATGCCCAGCTAATTTTTAGTATTTTTAGTAGAGACGGGGTTTCACCATGTTGACCGGGATGGTCTCGATCTCTCGACCTCGTGATCCACCCGCCTCGGCCTCCCAAAGTGCTGGGATTACAGGCTTGAGCCACCGCGCCCGGCCCATACTTTATGTTTTTAAAAATTTTTTAAATTTATATTTAAAAATGATAGACTAGGTCTTGCTATGTTGCCCAGGCTGGTCTTGAACTTTTGGGCTCAAGCAATCTGCCTGCCTCGGCCTCCCAAAGTGCTAGGATTGCAGGTGTGAGCCACTGGGCCCGGCCTGTCTGATGTTCTTATTTGTAATGTTTATTATCTGTGCATTCTGTAGAGCATAAACTCTCGACAGGACAGAGACCTTTGTCACTTTTGTTCACTGCAATATTGCTGGTACCTAGAACAGTGCCTAGAAAATGCTCAGAATTGTTTATTGAAGGAATGTGTCCTTGTATGTCCAGGGCCCAACTCACAGTAGGCATTGGGTAAATTAAGCTGATAATGAACGGTTTATTCTGTTAGATTTTCTAGGGAGTGTCAGTGACTATGCCGTTTTCATACTTAAAAGTAAATATAAACACTTCTTAGATTTTTATGTATTCAGATAAAAGGTTTTGTTAACGTCGGGCGTGGTGGCTCACGCCTGTAATCCTAGCACTTTGGGAGGCCGAGGTGGGTGGATCACCTGAGGTCAGGAGTTCAAGACCAGCCTGGCCATCATGGTGAAACCCCATCTTTTTTTTTTTTTTTTTTTTTTTTTAAAAAGGTTTTGTTAACAATCTGATTTACTCTGTTTATTGGTTCCAGATGTCCCAGTCAGCCAGATGTGTTTCATGCCTTCTCATATTACCTACCTTTCTTGCGTAAACCAAAACCCAACAACTAAATAAATAAACATTTCACCAAAGGTCATGTTTTCAGAATACCATCCAAATAGAGTCTAAAATCACACATGACCCATGTCAACAGTGTTTTGCTAGTTTGTTTGTTTTTGATATGGAATCTCACTCTGCCACCCAGGCTGGACTGTGGTGGTGTGATCTCGGCTCACTGCAATCTCTGCCTCCCAGGTTCAAACAATTCTCTTACCTTAGCCTCCTTAGTAGTTGAGATTACAGGCACATGCTACCTCGCTGGAGGAATTTTGTATTTTTTTTTTTTTTTTTTTTTTTTTTTGAGACGGAGTTTCGCCCTTGTTACCCAGGCTGGAGTGCAATGGCTCGATCTCGGCTCACCGCAACCTCCGCCTCCTGGGCTCAGGCAATTCTCCTGCCTCAGCCTCCTGAGTAGCTGGGATTACAGGCACGTGCCACCATGCCCAGCTAATTTTTTGCATTTTTAGTAGAGACGGGGTTTCACCATGTTGACCAGGATGGTCTCGATCTCTCGACCTTGTGATCCACCCGCCTCGGCCTCCCAAAGTGCTGGGATTACAGGCTTGAGACACCGCGCCCGGCGGAATTTTGTATTTTTAGTAGAGATGGGGTTTTACCATATTGGCCAAGCTGGTCTCAAACTCCTGACCTCAAGTGATCTGCCCGTGTCAGCCTCCTAAGGTGCTGGGATTACAGACATGAGTCACTGTGCCTGCAGTTTTCAAACATTTTTGCTCATATAGGCTTGAAAGAATTTTGTAAAACAATGTATTTTTTGTATCAATTCTGAAAAGTTTTTTTCCTACATATTTAACATTTTAGCTAATTACATAGCATGTAATTTTCTGGAATATTTTATTGATATTAATATTGACTGGGATGTTTTAAAATGTTGACATTTGATAATTAAACTGTTTCATTACTCTTATGTGTGTTTTTAATGGTATTTACTGATAGCAATTTATTTCCTACCATCATCTTCTAAAAAATTGAATGAATTCTTTAACTATTTGCTGGTTGAAGTTATATTTCCATTTTATTCACTTCAGAATTTTGTCAGCATAAAAAATATTTTTAGACTCCAAAGTCTTACTGATAACCCTCATACTTGTCATACTTTAAAAATATATCATTTTAAAATAAAAAAGTTAGACTGTCTTGTGACCATGAGGCTATAAATGTTTATTCAATTCAGAAGTAAGCAGAACTTATCATTGCCATTATCACATAATTCAAACTAACATAAAGGCATTATATTTTGATAAATGATTGTTAAAAATATTAGTTATTGGAAATGATAAGATTGTGCTTTTTTCTTTCTTTTTTTAAAGAAATGAGCTCTTCATACAGGGTGAATATTGATTATTTCCCAAATGGGGATTTAGCATCAATTCTTTTTTTCTTTTTTTTTTTGAGATAGAGTCTTGCTCTGTCACCAAGACTGGAATGCAGTGACACACACTCGGCTCACTGCACCCTCTGCTCCCTGGGTTCAAGCAGTTCTCCTGCCTCAGCCTTCTTAGTAGCTGGGATTGTAGTGTGCACTATCATGCCTGGCAAATTTTTGTAATTTTAGTAGAGACAGCGTTTTGCCATGTTGGCCAGGCTGGTCTTGAACTCCTAACCTCAGGTGATTCACCTGCCTTGGCCTCCCAAAGTGCTGGGATTACAGGTGAGGCACCATGCCCAGCCAATTCTATTCTTTTACTGTGATAAAGCACTGACAAATCCTAATCATATAAGTAAGAGATAGGAATGGGAAGTGTTCTCTTATTGTAGCATCTCTCAGTCCTTTGAACTGTTTCTGAGTTATGTGTCAAAAATCAATCTATCAGCAAAAATTATTTTTGATGACAACTGGATGGATCCTCCTTCAGTATTGTTGAAAGCAGATAAACTACTAGATTTCAAAAGAATTGTTTTCTAGTTCTTTTCTTTTCTTTTTTTTTTTTGAGACGGAGTTTCGCTCTTGTTACCCAGGCTGGAGTGCAATGGCGCGATCTCGGCTCACCGCAACCTCTGCCTCCTGGGTTCAGGCAATTCTCCTGCCTCAGCCTCCTGAGTAGCTGGGATTACAGGCACGTGCCACTCTGCCCAGCTACTTTTTTGTGTTTTTAGTAGAGACGGGATTTCACCGCGTTGGCCAGGATGGTCTCGATCTCTTGACCTCGTGATCCACCCACCTCGGCCTCCCAAAGTGCTGGGATTACAGGCTTGAGCTACCGTGCCCGGCCTAATTATTTTCTTAACAGTCAAACTGACCCTTTGGTGACAGGGAGGGAAGTGAGCTGTGCTAAGGTTTGGGATCAGCGAACAGTGTGTTTCTCCTTTTAATGTGAGAGAAGGAAGATTTTGAAAGGGAAGCTGAAAAAGGAGGATTGGCAGTGCATCACGGACAAGATTTCAGGCTGGTGGTTTTAGGATGGAATACAGGAGACAGGAATTGCTCTTAATGATTCCTCTCCCCTCCCCTCCCCTCTCCTTTTTTTCTTCTTTTTCTTTAACAGAGTCTCACTCTGTTGCCCATGTTGGAGTGCAGTGGCATGATCTCAGCTTACTGCAACCTCCTTCCCCCGGGTTAAAGCATTTCTCATGGCTCAGCCTCCCAAGTAGCTGGGAGTACAGGCGTGCACCACCACACTCTGCTAATTTTGTTTTTGTATTTTTAGTACAAGATGGGGTGTCACCATGTTGGCCAAGCTGGTCTCAAACTCCTGGCCTCAAGTGATCTGGCTGCCTCAGGTTCCCAGACTGCTGGGATTATAGGTGTGAGCCACTGTACCTGGCCAGTGATTCCTTTATTGAGAAGGAGATTAACATCTAGAGAAGTTAAGTGATTTGATCTCCTCTCAGGGTAAGTCAGTATTGGAGCCAGGTTCTTGTAAGTGTATATTTCATATCCTAGATCAGTGGTTCTCAAAACATGCCTTGGGGATCCCCAAAGTTTCCTGAAACCTTTTCAGGGGTCTGTGAGGTCAAAACTAATTTTATAGTAATACTTAGACAGCACTGTTAGTAATACTTTTAGTATTACTTTTAACTTTCCTTTTCCTTCTCTCATGAGTATACTGTGTTTTCCAGGATCTACATTACTTGTGCAGTTGCAAGAAATTGAAGCAAAAGTAGGTTTGAGAATCCAGTTGCTTTCTATTAAGCGAGACATTAAAGAGATATATAGAAGTGTAAAATGGTGCCATTTTTCTCACTAATTCTTTTGAGGAAAATGTAGTTTAAAAAAATATTTCAGTTGTACTGAAATGAATTAGTGTTAAAAATTTTCCCATTTTTAATTTTAATGTGGTAAATATTGATAGATATAATCCTTACTTTTAAAAAGCTCTTTGAGATCCTCATAATTGTGAAACCAAAAGTTTCATTGTGACTTTTGGATTTCAGCTTCATCATTCTCAAAAAGAGGCTAGATGTTAGGTTGCAGAGGACCACAAGTTGTCATTTGATGTGTCCTGAGTTATTTGAACATAGTCTGTGTTCAGTTCTACAGGATAGGTGTCTACATCGTAAAACCCTTCATTTGATATTCCCTTCTTTGGTTTCCTTATATGTAGTTTCAGCAGGTGACCAGGTATTAACTGACTTAAGCTATGTTGTTTTTGTTGTTATTTCTCTGTTTAAAGTGGGAAAGCAGCCTCAAGTCAATGTTTGAAGGATCCTCAAGCTGAATTGTTTGTCCATGTTCTGCTTAATAGCATTATCAGTTGGACTTCATTATTTCTCTCATGTGGATTTTTGGATTTGTAATTTCAGTGTACATTTAAAAATTATATATTTAAAATTTTTCTCTCTTAAAGGGGCCATGCTAATCTTCTCTGTGTTATTCCAGTTTTAGTATATGTGCTACTGAAGTGGTAGCATTTCACTGTACATTTTTATTAAAAGCTTTTTCAGTAGGATCCTGTATTGTATAGATAGGAGACCCTTAACCTTATGGCTATCTTACAGTTTTCTTTGAAAGGATCTTCTTTAAAATGAATATTTGCATTTATTTGACAGTTAAGTTTTGTAGGTAATATATCTAATTTTTTTCTCCCTCTTTTTTCTTACTCCCTCTTCCCTTCTCCTTCCCATCTCCTTTCTCCATTACTCCTTTTTTCTCTCTCCTCCCTTCTCCTCTCCTAATTGCTGGTGTGACTTTGAGTGAAATACTTAGTCTCTATGTATCTTAGATTCTCCATTTGTAATGTGTGATGTTGTGAAATAATTTCTTTAAACCGCAAAACATTGCCTGGCTCACCATCAAGGCTCAGTAAATGATAGCTGCAATTTTTGTTGCTGTTGTTACCATTAAAGCAATTTGGCAGTTCCTGGAATGTATTGAGTACTCAATAAATGGTGGTTATTTATATTATTTACTACATATTTATATAATTACTACATTGTTATTTATATAATTACTACATTGTGCATTTGCTTTTAGATGGTCTACTGAGTTTGGCTGAGGCAGATATGAAGTACATGTAATAGTAGTATTATATACTGTCTTAATTTTTCAGTGACAGTGGTTTTCTTTTGTATGAAATGATGCAGATGCTGATACTACATGGCCGTAATCCAAATACTTAGTAGGTATCATGGCCTTCATACGCCTACTCGTGAGAACAGCTCATTAATTAAATGGGAGATGGGGATATTTGGTCCTTGTAAATCACCATTTAAAAATGGAGATATATTGGATTAATAATGTGTGTGTGTGTGCGCGTGTGTGTGTGTGTGTGTGTGTGTAGTAAAGTCATAAAACAGAACTCTAATAATGTACAGTCTCTGATTCATATCATTCTTTTCAGCTGTTAGTGGACACTAGTCAGGTGTAATAAAGTAGCTTCTTGTTCAATTATTTTGTGTTAAATATATGATCTTATTTATTAATGTCATGAATAAGTAATTATAGATTATTTTATGATTACTAATTGTTAATGGTTCTGAAAGCAATTAAAATTCTGAAGATGGAATAACAGTGACACCAGCAGTGTGAGAGTTCTGTGTGCTCATTAAGAAAAATAATACAGCAACATAAGGAACTGTCAAAATTGACTTTCCGGTAATATACCCATATAGTAGGGCATTGAATGGCTAAGAACTGACAATCATTGATTGATTAATATAACTGTTACTTGGGTGGATAGTAGATTTAGAAGTCATAGTATGTTATGTGATATTTGAACTGATCAGCAGGGAACCTTATATAATATATATATAACCTTATATATATTATAATATAAACCTTATATATAATATAAATGATAATATATAATATAAATTATATAAAGCTTATATAATGTATAATATAAACCTGTATAATATAAATCTTATATAATATAAGGTTCCCTGCTGAATCAGTTCAAATATCACATACCAAAACTTATTATATATCAATATTGAATATATTCAGTATATTCAATATCACATATTGAAACCTTATATAATAATATAAATTTATATTATAAAATAAATAAAACCTAAAGCTTATATTATTAACATATCCTTATTAAAGGATATGTTATAGTTTATATTATTAATATATAAAGGATATGTTAATAATATATCCAAAAGTTTATATTATATTTTATAATATAAATTTTATATTATTTAATATACAAAGTTTTAAATTATTTAATATATCCTAAAGAATACAAAGTTTTAAATTATTTAATATATCCTAAAGTTTAAACTTTAGGATATATTAAATAATTTAAAACTTTGTATATTAAATAATATAAAATTTATATTATAAATATAAATTATATTATATATAAACCTAAAGTTTATATTATTAATAATATATCCTTTATTAATAATATAAACTTTAGGGGAGGGAGAAGTGGTCTTTTTGTAGCCTATAAGGCATATACTTGAATATAGTCTCTTACTGAAATATATATCATTTTGAGCAAATCATTTATCTTTGGTGAATTTGGGTTTTTCAGTTGCAAAGTGAGTATCAAACCTAGCCAGCTTAGCTCACTGAGTTGTTAGGATGGTTAAATGAAATACGTTATTTTGATCCAGTGTTGTGCCTTCCATGAGAACAACAGCAGCAACAACAAAAATCAAAAAGAAAAAAAAAAAAGAAGTAGTAATACATTTTGAGAATGCTTGGAAAAACTTGAGCACTATATGATATAAACTAGTATTCTGCCTACTTTTAAATGTGAGGGCATTGTTTGTGGAATATTCTGACTCCAGCTTGTGTTAATGCTTTTACTTTTTTTATTGTTTAGGTTTATCAATGACAAAAGACTGAAGTATTATAATCCTCTGTTTTTATGGCCATTAATTGAAATGAAGAATGTGTGTATTCAAGTTTGAATATAGAGACATGCATAAAATAGCAGTGCTGTTCATGACACTGTAGTTAAACATTTGTTAGAATTTCCACTGTAAACTTCCCTTTGGATGTTTGTTCATTTTAGCTTGGCTTTCCTGTGGGTTAAAATTATAGGGCCTGAATCTTTTTGGATGGAAACTTTTTCCTTCTTTTTAATAGGGAATGAATGCATGCTGTTAAAAAAACTATTCACAACATTTTATCATAAAAGTTTTAAAAGCTACTTCTAGGCAGTTTTTATCTTTAACTCATTAAGTGTGTTAAATGTTGTGACTTCATTACCTATGAACAGTTTTTCTTTGCTATTGTTGTTTTTCGTCTAAAAATTGTCAGTCTTCCAATATATTATCTAAATGAGAGATTATAAATAATTTTTGTAAACTAATTATAATATATAAAAAACAGTGATATATTGAACATCTGGATACCCATCCCAAGTTAAGAAAAAGTAAACTGCTTAGATTTTATAAACTTCCTTAGACTTTCATTGCTAAAAGTGTTCATTGGTCTTTGATTTAAATATTAGCAAAGTGTATTAGAAACAGTCCAGGACTTAGACTGTCCCTTTATATCCAGACACCCCTTTCTAATGGGTATCATGTGGTACGTGTGTTCTGGTCTCATGTGAACAGATTGGGTGGCTACGTGACCCAAGAGCATCCAAGCTATGGGCAAGGCATAATGTGGCCCAGAGGTTCTACCCAACAGAGATGAGAGTGAAATGGTTTTCCAGCAGAACCTTTCTCTAGGGAAGTTTGAATTTGATACAGAGTTGTCGAAGGAAGGAATAGATACTGAACGACCCAAGAAAGAGAATCAAAGAAGTGATAAATCATGTAGATAGGGCAGGGAGAGGGAGGTGTGGGTGGATCTGCCTTGATTATCGCTTCACTGAAATTACTCTTGTCAGGGCCACCTCCATGTCACATGTCTCTCAGCAGCATTTGACACTTGTCCACATTTTCCTTGTGGAAACATACTCATCTTTGGCTTCTGTGATACTCAGGTTTTGCCTCTGGCTGTTTCTTCTCATTCTCTTTGCTGACTCTTCCTCTTCTACTCAACTTGTAAGTGTTGGGTTTCTTCAAGGCTCCCTCTGCTTCACTTTCTGCACTTTTGCCATAGGTGAGTTCATCTGTCCTATTGGCTTTAAGACCATATTACTATTTATATATTGTTAGTGCCCACATTTCTTTTCTTTCTTTTTCCCCCCACAAATATGACATTTCTTTTGCTTGCTTGCCTGCCTACCTTCCTTTCTTCCCTCCCTCCCTCTTTTTTCTTGTTTTCCTTTTTCTTTTTTGAGACAGAGTCTTACTCTCTTGCCCAGGCTGGAGTGCAATGGCACGATCTTGGCTCACTGCAACCTCCGCCTCCTGAGTTCAAGCAGTTCTTCTACCTCAGCCTCCTGAGTAGCTAGGATTACAGGCAGGCACCATCACACCTGGCCAGTTTTTTTTTTTTTTTTGTAATTTTAGTAGAGGCGGTGTTTCACCATATAGGCTAGGCTGGTTTCGACCTCCTGACCCCAGGAGATCTGCCCACCTCAACCTCCCAAAGTGTTGGGATTACAGGTGTGAGCCACTACACCCGGCCTCTTTTTTTTTTTTTTTTTGAGATGGCAGTCTCACTCTGTTGCCCAGGCTGGAGTATAATGGTGCAGTTGCAGTTCACTGCAGCCTTGACCTCCCTGGGCTCAAGCCATCCTTTCACGGCAGCCTCCCGAGTAGCTGGGATTACAGGAGCATCCCACCACGCCCAGCTGAGGTGCCCACATTTCTATCTCCACCTCACCCTTTTCAGACTTTGGTCTCATATATACAATACATCTTCATGTATATGTCTTATAAACATCTCTAATGTAACACATTATGAGTGAAACACTTGATTTCCCCCACCAAACTGTTTCTTCCCTCTTTTACTTGCTGACTCCTCTGTTCACCCAGGTGCTGAAACCAGACAACCTGGCTTCCACCCACTGAATGTGGAGAAGTAGGGCAAGGTACCAAGAGTCACCTTTGATCCCTCTCTGTCTCTTAGTCACTTTTCACCTCTGTACTCTCCCTCCAGAATAGTTTCTTGTCAGCAAGCATAATTGATTCTACTAATTCTTTCTCCAGTAAATTATCTCTAATTTGACTACTTTGTCTCCAGTCCTTATCATAATTCTGTAACAGCAGCCTCCTATGTAGCTGTAGTCTCCTAACCCATGTCCCTATTTCTTATCTTGCCCCTTTTCCATCATTCAACTTGAAGTGACCAGAGTGATCTTTTTAATAATACAAATCATATGCATGTCTCTCCCTTAGGTTTTAATAATATAAACCATATGCTTATACCAACTTTGATACTGTCATGATTCTTTACTGAATCTGGAATTAAATCCATGTTCTTTCTCTTCATCTTTCACTATTTTCTTTTCACCTTGCCTTTTCCATTGTATTTTTCTGACACCACTAATTAAAATTTAATGTTAAAGTCAAATGCATGTGGGTTAAAACTCCCAAGTTCCTAAAAACTTTAACAGACT